CTTGATTGAAAACCAAACTGGAAAGAAAATCAAAACTCTGAGAACTGATAATGGAACTGAATTCTGTAATGCTGAATTTGATACTTTGTGTTCTGAATCTGGCATTAAGAGACATAAAAGTGTTGTGTATACACCCCAACAAAATGGTATTGCAGAAAGAATGAACAGAACTTTGCTTGATAGAATTAGATCTATGTTAAATTCTTCTGGCTTGAAAAAACCTTTTTGGGGTGAGGCTGTTCTTACAGCTGCTTATTTGATAAATAGGTCTCCTTCTGTGCCATTGAGTGGGGAATTGCCTGAATCTAAATGGTTTGGTAAACCTGTTAATTTATCAAATTTGAAAGTTTTTGGTTGTTCTGTGTTTGTTCATCAAAAACTTGATAAACTTGACCCCATATATGTGAAATGTGTTTTCCTAGGATACCCTGAAGGGGTTAAGGGTTATAGGTGTTGGTTGTATGGTGATCAGGGTTTTTAAACTGTGACTAGCAGGAATGTTGTGTTTAATGAAAATGAATTTCCATGCTTATCTGTTTCTAATATTGTTTCACCTCATACCACTTCCACTGAGGTGGATATTCCACCTGTTAATTATGTTCAAACTGAAAATGATAACTCTGATGATGAAGTTGTTAATAATGAGATGCCTGAAAACACTGTTTTTGATCAAACTGTTAATCTTGATGTGCCCTTTGTGAATGATCTCGGTGATTACCAACTTGCTAGGGACAGAGATAGAAGAAACATTGTTAGGCCTCATCATTTGAATGATTACCAACTTGCTTCTCATGTGTTTCATGTGTTTGACTCTCTAGATGGTAATGAACCTAAGTCTTATAGGAAAGCTTTGAACTCTAATGAGTCTGTTGATTGGTTAAATGCTATGAATGATGAAATGAAGTCTTTACATGTTAACCACACTTGGATTCTTGTACCTAAACCTCCTACATGCTCTTTAGTTGACTGTAAGTGGTTGTTTAAGGTCAAATATGAGTCTGACTCTGTTAGATACAAAGCTAGGCTAGTGGCTAAGGGGTTTACCCAAAAGGAAGATATTGATTACACAAAAATATTTGCTCCTGTTGTGAAATTCACTACTGTTAGAATCATGCTTGCTTTGATTTCTCATTTTGATTGGGAATTAAAACAAATGGATGTAAAAACTGCTTTTCTGCATGGTGAATTAGATGAGCAAATATATATGTGCCAGCCTGAGGGTTTTATTGACAAGAAATATCCTGATTATGTATGTCTGTTAAAGAAATCTTTGTATGAGCTGAAACAGTCACCTAGGCAATGGAACAAGAAATTTTATGCCTGCATGATGTCTTTAAAATTCAAAATAAGTTCATATGATCCTTGCTTATATTTTAAAGAATCTGCAAAAATACCCGTGTTCTTGCTTATCTATGTGGATGACATGCTTCTTGCTAGTCCTTGCATTCAAACTGTTAATCATGTGATTAAATTTCTTAGTGATGAGTTTGATATGAAACTTCTTGGTGATGCAAAAAAGAATTCTTGGTATGGACATAATCAGAGATAGACCTGGATGTTCTTTATTCTTGAATCAATCCTCCTATATTGAAAAAATCCTTGATAAATTTTCTATGTTGTCTACCAAACTTGTGTCTGTTCCTCTTGCCTCTCATTTTTTGCTAAGTAAGGATCAATCTCCTAAGACTGAACCTGGAATTTCTTAAATGAAAAAGGTGCCATATGCCAATGCCATTGGTTATGTTGTGTATTTGATGGTTAGTACTAGACCTGACATTGCATATTATGTGAGTTGCTTGAGTAGATATACGTCTAATCTAGGTTTGCCCCATTGGGAGGCATTAAAATGGGTGCTTAGATATTTGAAAGGTACTGTTAATACTGGTTTGATAGGCAAAACTGAAATTGAACTGTGTGGCTATGTGGACTCAAACTTTGTTAATGATAGAGATAATAGAAAATCCTCTACCTCTTATGTGTTCACCTTAAATGGTGCTTGTGTTAGTTGGAAATCTCAACTCCAAAACATTGTTGCTCTCTCTACTACTGAATCTGAATATATAGCTGCTACTGAAGCTATAAAAGAAGCCATCTGGCTTAAGGGGCTGTTGTTGGAGGTTGATATTCTTAATTCTAAAGTGGTAGTATTTTCTGATAGTCAATCTGGCATTCAACTGTGCAAAAACCCTGTGTTTCATGACAGAACTAAACACATTGATGTGAAGTTCCATTTCATTCGTGATTTAGTTGAAAAATGGGTTATTGACCTTGAGAAAATTCCATCTGAGTTCAATTCAACTGACATGGGAAAAAAATGTCTGCCTTCTGAAAAATTCTGTTCTTGTTTGAAAAACTTGAACATTCTTTCAAAACCTTGACTTGCTGTGTGCTAGTTTATAGTCTGTGTGACTTGATACTTGTGCTTTCTTTGTGATTGCTTGTTTAATCTATTTCTTTATGAATAAGATTATGCTTTCTATGTGATTGCATTACTGCATTTTACTTTAAATGCATGTGAGTTGTATTCTGAGTGAACACAACATGATATACTTGTATGAACTGTGTGTTCCTACTTGTGTGTCAAAAATCAGCAATGATGACTTCCAAAATTAAGAAATTTTCACTAATGATTCACATTTGGTCCAAGGTGGAGAATTGTTGGTTTTTGGCCTTAATGTGTTTTGGGCCAGAGAGCCCAATTACCCTCTTATGTTATACACCACTATTTGAGTTAGGCCCAAAATGAGTAAGTGAGCCCAAGTCCATATCTGAGCTAAATCCATCCGTTGGATTTCTGGCTAAATCTGGACTATTTATTCCCTCACTTAAATACTCTATTCTCTCTCCTATTTTCTCTCATTCTGAAACCCTAGCTTTTACTCCTTCTTCTCCGCCGCTCCTACTTCTGTCTTCTTCCTCCATTGTACTGCCTTGACTGATAATGACTGGAGGTCAAAGAGCATGGTACATAGCTGACTTTGACCCTCCAGTACAGCCTTCACCGGCTCTATTTGACTTCAGTCCCTATAAATACTGGCATGGGAGTTGGAAGAGGATAAGACACAGATTAAACCCTAGACTCGACCTAAATCTCTCAGTTTTTCTATTTGTGAGTTCTGAAATTGGGGTTTTGGTGAGTGGGTAAGCTTGAGTGCTTGATCTGTTCTTTCCTTCGCGGTATTCTGGGTGAACTAGGGTTTGTGTGTTGAGAGAGAAAGAAGATTTGTTCTTCTTTGAGGTACTCTAGTGGTGTATATTGAAAGTGTGAATATCTGGTGTGAAAAGTGGAAGACTGAGTTGATATTCTCAATCTATTTATCTTCCAATTTATTCACCTTTTATCTCTATCTTTATGTTATACATAAATATATATATTCTCCTTAGCAGTAATCAATACTGCTCAAGGGGAACTCATATTAATCTAGGCTTTATGGAGCTGGGCAGTATGATACCCTACAATATCGGAGTTCTTGGAGGTAATCTCTGTGTTTTCATTTCGATATATGGGTCATGAAGGAATGCGGAAATCGAGATTCATGGACAAAGGAGTTTGTTATTGATTCAGCGGTTCGTACGGGCGAACCCATCGATGGACCTTTTAAGCCGCTGTAGTTTCTTAACAACGACAAGATTTTGATGTTGTGGAATTGTGATAATTTGGTTTGCTACCATCCAAAATAGAAGGAGTTCCAGTTTCTTGACTTAGAACTGTCGGTAAGATTGTTCCTTACCGCTTCCTTCCTCTGAAGGAATCTCTCATGGTCGACAATTTGGTAGTGCAGAATATGCCTCAAGGTACGATCTTTTATCGTTTGATTTACTCGTAAAAAATATGCTTATATATATTTCAATTTAATATCAGATTTGTACATTTTTATGAATTTTATATAATAAATATTGTTGGTTCTATTTGTTGGAAGAGGATCCGGACCCGAGTGTAGATCCATAATTTCGAGCTAAAGTCGGTGCATAATCTGCAATATGTATTATGTATTTTGTCTTGAATCTTGTACTGTGTCTTATGTCCAATTTCTAGCTTTTGATCATGTCTTAAATTTGTTATTGTGTTTATGTAATGTTCAATCTCAGTGTGTGAATGAGTGTGACTTTAATAAAATTTGGGATCTCCATACCTTCTAAGTTTAATTTTTGTGGAATTTTCACATTTATTATTCTTATTTTTGTGTCTATTAATAGTAATATAATTGAAAGTATGGCCTATTTGATAATAAAAAAAAACCTCATTCAATTTCTTAAGAAAATTGTAAAAACATGAAAATTGCTATAGCAAATAAATGGGGTAGGAGGTGAAATTTGTAAAGAGAATGGGGTGAATATTATATTAATACAAATAAAGATAAGGGTTTTTGCGTAATTTACTACAAAATAATGCATCAAAAATTTAAACCTATATCAACGAATCCGACCAACCAAGTGCAATATTGTATCCACCAAAACTGAATCCCTACAGTGTATTTTGAAAACTAAACCTTAATCCCATCCCAACCCATCACCCCAGCCAAAAGAGCCCTCAGTGTACAAATTTCAATTACATATTTAATTTTTTTTTAGTATAATCGAACTTATATTCGTATATTATGTTTATTTTTTATCAATAAAATCATAAAGTTCTACATTTATACCATCTAATGTTTCACTAATTACAGAACCAATGTTGTAAGGGTAATTTGCACGTTGTACCCTTGAATTACATAGCATTGGCACTTTGTACCCTTAAATTGAGAAAATGACAGAATGCACCTTCCAATTGCAAATTATTTGGCACTTTGCACCCTTAAATTGAGAAAATGGCAGAATGCACCTTCCAATTGCAAATTATTTGGCACTTTGCACCCTTAAATTGAGAAAATGGCAGAATGCACCCTCCAATTGCAAATTATTTGGCACTTTGCACCCCATTCATTTCTGGCTACGAAATTGACTGGTTACCTGTTTGTGGGATTTGAAGAGGTGTATATTTGTCTTTCTTTTATTTGACCAGAAATTAAAAAATGGTTCATCATCTAATAATATGATCGTAATTTTACACATGTCCTATTCCAATTGATAACGCGAGGTTACGTTTAAGAAGATCCGTGGTGTGCCCGTTAAACTGATCTACGCTTAGATTGGTTGTTCGTTGATTGAATCTCTCTTCAAATGATGAGCGATGTTATCAGATCATGAAAGATTTTTAAATTTCTTATAAAATAAATAAATAAAAGAAATACAAATATATCCCTCTTCAAATTCCACAAACAGGTAACCGGTTAATATTATAGTCAAAAGGTGAATGAGGGTGCAAAGTGCCAAATAAATTGCAATTCAAAGGTGTATTCTACCATTTTCTCAATTTAAGGGTGCATAGTGCCAATGCCATGTAATTCAAGGGTGCAAAGTGCCAATTAACCAACGTTGTAAATAGTAAATCAAATCGAGAATTGTTTTGTTAATTTTACAAATCGTAATGAATGGTAGATCAAAGAGCTTTAATATTTTTTATAAAAAATAATAGAAATAGGAATCTATATAGAACTATAATTTGATGATTAGATTATAACATAAAATAGATGATGAAAATATTCAAGATTACACATCTTGTAAAATATGACATTACTTTGAGTAACTAATTGGGGTTGGTGCAATCATTAGTTGGCAAGAAATCAACCTTTTGATTCTCAAGATCAATTCCAATCAGATAATTAATCATCTGTGAATTTCCTAAAACTAAGTCATTTGAAAAATCAGGCAACATAGCCAAACACACCACCCCTTTATTCACCTCCACGAAGGTGGCGTCCGGCGACAAGACCAAGTCAACGCCCCCTCTAAAATGTGCCGTTATTGTCGGAGAATTGAATTTTCCGTTTGCGGGTTTTTCGTAGCATACTTGGAAGCCTCCTTCTGGATTAGCCGTAGGAGTACCATTTAGAGCTTTATCCAATGCAAATAGGAATTTGAAATAGAAATCAGTCGTCAAATACGTATACGTGCTGCCTGTATCGATAAACATATTCCCTTCCTCCACCGTTTTTCTCGATTCTTTCGATTTGAACGCCAACTTGTTATTCCCAACACTAATTCCCTCGAAAGTAACGTAGTGGAATGTATCATGCTCTTTCTTCACTAAGGGTGTTGACATTACTTTAGGCCCCGTGACCACTGCATTGCTCCCGAAATTTATCTTGCTCGACACATTGGAATTAGGATGCGGCAAACAATACGAGATTTTGGCGTCTATTGAATAATATTTCTTTAACTGTCTGATTATCGACACCGGGCCCCCACCAAGGCCGACTATCCCAGAGGACGTTCCGAGACTTCCCCCATAGTTTTTATGACCACAGCCAAACACGATCTTTGAAAATGCCAAATTTTGATCAAAAATGAATGTTTCCGTCGCTAGGTCTCCGGAGGTGTATGCCCTGCTGGCATAATATAATTCGTAGCGACAGCCATTTGTTGTATTTTCGCAAGATGGATGCTCAAATCTCAACGATTGGCATTCTTGGGATTTGCACGAAACGGTGTCGTATGTTTTGCTCTTTTTGGGGTCGAAAATCGGGGTTTTTTGCTTGTAGCAACGGGAGCAAGGGGCGCACTGCGTCCACATCAAATCGCTGCCCGTGTCAGCAATTCCCATTAGTTCTATCGGTGGATCACCGACTTGCATTTTCATTAGGTAAAACCCCGACACGGGGGTGAGAGACACCTCCGGTGGTGACGATTTTGAATTATTTGACCTAATTGAACGACGACGAGCGAGAGAGTGACGGAGTGCGTTTGTGACACGCTGGAATCGGGTCAATGATGGGTCGTAGAAAGGGGAAAGAGGAGAATCTCCATGGATCAAATCAGCAGTTATGCCAACATTGTTAGTGATTGCTTCTGATTCACTACTCGAACAAATCAAACAAAATAAAACGAATAATATTATCGGCAGAAGAAAGATATTATTCGACCGGGGTTTCACGTAAATTGCCATGAATTTGAATATGTTGATGATGGATGGATATTGGATACACTTGTTTTGACCAGTGCTGCTGCTATTTGTACATAAAATTGTTAGCAGGGGAAACGTTTTAAATGCAAAAGGTTACTACTATATTTAATGCAAAATGTGAATCGGATTCATAAAATATTATATATATATAATATTACTTTTAGGACTTGTGAAATATATGATTGTAATCTTATTTGTGATAATGGTTTAATTGTGTCAATAGTTTATCGGATTTCAATAATATTCGTATTCTTAATTAGGACGGACAACAATATACACGACCTAATTAAGCCTGCCTCCATATTTACTGGAAGTTGTTTAGGATGAAGATCCGGAGAAAAAATAATTACCATAATGCTAAATAACGTTCATTTTATTTAGGGATATTTTGAATTAAATAGCTAAAAGTCAACGAAAATAATTTGAAGATGTGAAATATAATTTGAAGATTTTGGGAAGAAGAAAATTTATCGTGCAAGTGAAATAAACGAGGGTGATTTTGGCATTCTGGGATAACATTTTGCAGGAAATAGTTCATTAACCAAGATTGATTAGAAATGTGGAGGATCAAGAATTAAGAAATGTTCGTATGAAAGAAAAAAAACAGTATGGTATAAAAAGTCTAATTTGCACAAATGCAAAATCACATTTTCTCAACTGACAAGCACATGTACTTACGCAACTGAAATTGAAATCACAGAATCACCATCATTATAAAAATTGTTACAACAATCACTGATGTCAAAAGGGCAATTATTCTCCATGTTCGAATCCTTGCTTCTTGTTCTGCCACTACGGTTTGTAGGACCTCAATCTTTCTCAGCAAGCCGGGGATGATTAATTTAGCTCTTCTCCCAATTTCGGTATCACACCAAAAAAAAAATTTGCATTTTCCAGCCTGCAAAAAACGGAACATGTTAAGCAATGGAGAGAATTTGTCTAACAAAAAAAAAAAAATCCAAAAGCAATACAGTCGACAGTAAAAATCATGGGTTGGATCGTTTTTCCGGCACAAATCGGGATCTTACCCCCCTTTTCGGACAACACACAAAACGTCGACCGGGATTAGCCGTAGTCCACGAAGTTTGGACAACAACTTCCAACCCACAACTGCATACGAATGGGTGAGTATGGCCGTTCAACTCATCACAGAAAAAATGGCGCCCTGTCCGTTGCCGACATGTCGACGAACTGCTGTTGCTGCTCATGTAGCCTTCAAACTTTTTTATTGAATTTCAAAATTTTTTTAGGAACAGAGCAGTACAAGATGGAGGAAGAAGAGAATCCCTATTTTTTTCTAATTTTTGGAGCAGAGAAAACTGTGTATATGAGGAGGATGAATTCAATAAATAGAATTTTTGAGCGCTAAAAATGTCATTCACCGCCATTTACCAGTCAATCCAACGTACCTAACGGCAGAATGATTCACTCAGATGCTATCCGTAGCTACGAATCTGTGAAACCTAATATGAGATAAAAACACAATTTCATATATCCCAATAGTGTTTATTGGGGATGGATGTGGGATCCCATCCGATCACAACCAACGAAGCAAAATAGCCCTAATAAGTAATAAGACATCAATTTAAGATATAAAAATAATATAAAAAAATATATATAAACAAAAACCTTGTATATAAATTAGTGAATTTTCACTCTAACCCTAATACATATATCTCACTAGTCACTCCTAATACATGCATATGGCTGTTAAAATAATTTCAAGAGAAGCAATTTTTTTTTTTTTTTTTTTTTATATTTCTCCAAAAAAATTCTGTTTTTGGAGATTCAACCATGGTTCTTCTGGTTGGTAAGCAAGTGACCTGGGTTTTTGGTCTTTTCGGTTTTCCGGGTTGGATAGGACCGGACCGGTTCCTGATTTTATCGGTCGGACCGGCCGGTCCAGTCCAATTTTCAAGACATTGGTTAAGAGCCATTTGGACTCGTTCAAATATCATCACCAAATGCCTTGAATCATCAAGCTCCTTACCGAATCAACAATTTGTCTATTAAGGTCAAGACAAGGCAGCATGTTGGTAAGCACCTTACACCTAGAACTATATATTTGGTCATAGATTCGAAACACCAGAAGAGGAATTGGGCAACCAGTAACCATCCTCCTTTAAACAAAAAATAAATAAATAAAAAATAAATTAAACTAGTAATTCACCCGTGCAATGCACAGGGTGAATGTTTTTTTTATACTGATATCGCAATTTTTTTAAAATAATTAAAACGAAATGAGTATATTTTTTCAAATCATTCCAAATACACTAAAATTTCATAAATTATTCGAATGTATATTTAAATTATAAAATGATTAACATAACTATTTAATGAAAAATTTAAATAAAAATAATACTAAAAAAAGAATCAAAATATTACATTTTCCGGAAAATTAAATTATAAATAAGATAATAGCTTTCAGATTTATAGAATATAAAATTTTATAATATATATATATATATATATATATATATATATATATATATATATATATATATATATATATATATATATATATATGTGTGTGTGTGTGTGTTAAATATTTTAATGACTGTAGAAATGTTATATATGTAAGAACTTAAATACATACCAAAATTAAAATGTCAACTAATCAATTGAGGAATACACGTAATCAGTTGAACTTCAACTAAGCAATTTGGAGATATGACATAGACATTTGCCACATTTCTTCTTTAGATGGCATAAATTCTCTTTTTATATTACTAGTAATCGAACCCGTGCGTTGCACGGGGTTACATATTTCAATGAAATCATACAACAACACAGTTATTAAATCAGAGTAATAAACTACAAATTGTCATAAATAAAATGCACATTTGGTGCTTTACACTTAAAAATCTCTGCTTAAAAAAAACACTTAAAAATCTCATTTTAACCGCTTAGAAAATACGTGCACTTCACCATTACCCAAAACATTACATAAGTTAACAATTCCCAATAGCATCATATATGAGTTCAAATAACACAAAAAAATTATTGAAAGAAAAAATAATCGAACCCGTGCGTTGCACGGGGTTACATATTTCAATGAAATCATACAACAACACAGTTATTAAATCAGAGTAATAAACTACAAATTGTCATAAATAAAATGCACATTTGGTGCTTTACACTTAAACATCTCTGCTAAAAAAACACACTTAAAAATCTCATTTTAACCGCTTAGAAAATACGTGCACTTCACCATTACCCAAAACATTACATAGGTTAACAATTCCCAATAGCATCATATATGAGTTCAAATAACACAAAAAAATTATTGAAAGAAAAAATACAAAACAAAATTACGGAAAACAGTGTGTCATACATAAGAATACATCTTCACGTTTGATATTGTGTGTCAATTTGAACTGAAAGGCAATGCATTTATTTTAATGATATTACTTTACATCTTCACGCTCTGCAAAACAATAAGAATACATTATGCATAGTTGAATATAAGTCTTACATAAGAAGTAATGTGAATATTGTAAATAAAATATTACTTTAAATTTTAAAATACTACTTTATAAACAACATTTGTTGTATTTTTTGAAGTATTTCCTTCCTTGTCAACTATAAGTATGTTCAAACATTTTCGACTGGTAACCCTCGAAATAACTACGTACAGTTGTTCGTGAGAGAAAACAGTTTTTTTCAAGATATGGACCATTTTGGAGAGATTGACCTTGGCTTTTATTTATTGTCAGAGCAAAGGAAAGAACAATGGGAAACCGCCTCCTCTGAAAGTGAAACGGAATTCTACTATCTGATGGTGACAATCTTGGAATAAAGTTGTTATGTCCGACATTAGAGCCTGATATTATTTTCGTTTTCCGAACGCGATTTCCCAATCCAGTAACGGTCAATCTTGTACCATTACACAACCCATTGGACTGGTTTATATTCATCAACAACATAATATGAACACCTCTCTTCAGCATTAATTCATGATTTGACTGACCTGAAAATGTAATAATATTCAAAACTCTGGAGTATGAATGTCATGATGTGAGTCTAACAATCTCATTCGCCGTACATGGACTATCGAAACTAAGATAGACTATTTCATCTTTCGGAACCAAAGACAACATGGAATCTTTAACCTTCTCAATGATTTCTTGTGTGGGTACTAATATAACTCGTTGTTGTAAGTATTCAAAATCCATGATATTAGCGAGCAAATTTGGATACGCTTCTTCAGCAATAGACGTTAACTGGTTACCTAATGATTTTCTGAGCAAATCTTCAGGTATCTCAATGGCCATAACCCCATCATTATCGTCGCTATTAGTACTATCACCTATACTTACCACCCAATTTGAGAAGTTCTTCAATTCCTCGCAATTAGAACTTATTGAAGAAAGCCTCATATTTTTTGTTAATGTTAACACTTCACAATGCCACCACAAATGTGAGGAATTTATGCTCGCCGACACAACTTGTTGTCTTGTTCCCTTTGGCACAACATGCAATATTTGTCTGAAATCACCTCAAACAACAATTGTTTTGCCACCAAAGGGTTTGTTCTCATTTCAGGATCAGACTGCCTTAGGATATCCTTCAAAGATTGATGTACGACCTCAAAACAATGTTTGTGAATCATTGGAGCTTCATCCCAAATGATGAGTTTCGTTTTCGTTATCAACTCCGCCAAAGGGGACTCACGTGCAATGTTGTAAGTAGATTCTTTATGAACATTAAAAGGAATGACAAACCTCGAGTGTGTTGTTCTTCCACCAGGAATGAGTACAAATGTTATCTCACTCGGAGCGACTATGAGTACTATTCACCTTTTGACCTTAAAGCTACTGAAAGCGTTCTCCAAATATAGGTCTTACCAGTACCTCTGTAACCATAAACGAAAAATAAACCACCACACCTCTCATTTACACGAACCATAATCCTATCATAGATAACCCTTTGTTCGTCACTAAGACTTGACAATAACTCTGAATGTTTGGCAATAAATGCACTTCTATCATAATTAAATTCATCATAGATACGTCTATTTAGAACTTATGGGAGAGGAGACATGTTTGGAAACGGCATTGTTGGAAAATCAGCTAAACTTTTATTACTACATTGCAGTTTTTCTTCAATTTCCATTAGGGAAAAAAATTTCAAAGCATCTTCATCAAGCTGCAAGTCTGAGATATAAAAAATAATTTATTAAATTAGTAACAATGCAGAAAATAGTAAATGATAGACAAAAGAAATTTTGTATTAAATTTACAAAATACTTGAAAATATATGAGAAACTACCTTTACGTTGGAAATAGTTCTTCGCGTGCGCAAGATATCATCACTCAAAAAATGCCATGTTTTATCCCAAACATTTTCAGGTCGTGCCATTGATTCGACAATAGAAGAGTTGTGAACATATTTCGTAGGAATTTAGCAAACTACCAGTCACTTGCTTCTTCAATATCATCTATGTACTCCTTATTATCATCTAACAAACCAATTGCATAGCAAACATCTCTAAACGTAGGATAAACCACATTATTGATGGTTCTTAACTCAATATAAGAAGAAGGTTCTCTAACTATATTGAGTAAGATACTCAAATAATATAATTCACCACTTACTGGGGCTACGTATAATAATGAATTATTCTAACAAAAACTCCTTTCTTTCTGGGAGTCCACGCATGTAGAGGCTGTTTACAGACAAATTTCGCTGGGAATTATGCATAGTTTAGACCCTTTGCCTTAGTATATGTAGAATTTGCATCCATCCATGCTAAAAACTTTGATTGTTGTATGTGTAGCCTCTCAATGACCGATTCAGGAGGTTCATCACCATAAAAAAATACTACTTGTTCATTGGGCAAGTGAATAGGCAGGTGTTGCACTACGGGTTCTCTGGAATGAATATCAAATGAAAATATTCGCCACATTGCTTCACATGGTGATAAGTATCTGCAATCAACGTACATCTTGATCTCTTCGTAATTTTCTGATTCTGAGTCGCCAGCTCTTGTTCCATCAAAAGTTGCAGTAACACGATCATGACCTTTGTTGATGTACTTGAATCAATTAGTTGTTTTATTTATTTTCTAATAATTGCTATCATCAACTAATATATATCTAAAAACATTACAGATCATGACATAAAGTAATCTTGTAACCGTCAAACACTAACATATTAGAATAACAGTTTAATTTTCGGAGAAAATTAGAGAAAACCCCCATCTAGGAATTATAGTTAAGGAAACACCCCCTCCAAAAAATAATTTGAGAAAACCCCGTTAGCTAATATTTCACTCAAATGTTATTTTAATAATTCACAAACCACCCTTATTGATATTAAATCTCATTTTCACGTTTTAGAACTCAAACCCATTTTATTTGCCCTTTTTCTCTTCTCATTTTCTCATCTTCTCTTCTTGACTGAAATTTCCACGGCGGCGGCCTCCTGCTAGGGAGGATTGTGATGGGTCTACTGATGGTGGCGCATGTGTGCATGGTCCTGATGGTAGTGTAGTTGTGGCGGTGGTTTTGGGTGGAGGATTGCGATGGGTCTGCTGGCGGCGGCGTATGTGTGCATAGTGCTAATGGTAATGATGGTTGTGGCGGCGGTGGTTTTGGCTGGAAGATTGCCATGGGTCTGTTGGCGGCGGCGTATGTGTGCGTGGCGCTGATGGTAATGATGGTTGTGGCGGCGGTGGTTTTAGTTGGAAGAGTGCGATGGGTCTGCTGGCGGCGGCATATATGTGGGTGGTAGTGATGGTTGTGGCGGCGATTTTGGATGGTGGGTTGGTGGGAGCGTGGCAAATGAGCATGTTTCTGTGAGAGAGTTTGCAGTTTGACTACACACATGCCCATCCAACTGTTGTGTTTTCATTTGGGTATAATAATGAAGGTGTACCAGTTGGCCACACTTTGTATGTTTCTATGGTTCTTCTCTGATGCTCTTATCTTTTGCTATGTATGTCAGTTGACTGCTGAATTGTTGTCGGTTGGAGGAGAGTTAGTGGCCAAAATCGAGTCATCGGCGAACTCGAACATTTCTGAGCAATTCTAGAGTTTCTTTTGGGTACATTGAACGGAGGACGGTGATGGTGGAGAAATTTATTCTCGTTAGGGATTGGTTGAATAGTGTGATGTGGCGGCGTTATGGTGACGATGAGGAGACACATTTAGGGTTTTTCGATGGATCAGGCGGAGGACGACGCGTGTAGAGAAATTCGCGCAGGCTGGAACGTTCATCGACTACGTACATGTTAATAGTCGATTAAGCTAATCGACTATGCTCTGATAGTCGATTAAGGTTAATCGATTACAATTTTTATTTTATTTTTCGGTTTTTTTTTATTGATTCCAATTGTATGAATCAATTATAATGTTTGTATATTTTTTTTTGTAAAATATAGTTAAATTTTCATTTTTTTGTTTATTGATTCCAATTGTATGAATCAATTATAATGTTTGTATATATTTTTTTTTAAAATATAGTTAATTTTTTCATTTTTTTTAATTTATCAAAGAGTCCCACATTTTTAAGAGGAATAATAATGTAGTAAAGTACATTAATCTATGTGTTTAATCTAACATTGTGATAATACGGTTTTACTAAAATAAACGTGAACAGTTTTTAATATTCCCTATAATAATAAAAACATGCACACTAATAAATCTCGTACAAAGTGAATATAATATTCTTAAGAATTACTAACGCTCGATTGGCAATAGAACCACAACTCATTATTTATTTATATAAAATAAAGAGACACGATTCATTATCTTTTGATAATTTATTCGGACAAAATTCATGGTTTACTCCCAAAATTCCTATAAAAGTGAACCAAAAAAATAAAAAGATTAGCCATATTTGTACAAAAAGAAAGTGAAAAACCAAACAGAATAGATCTATAAAAACAAAATACAAATATTTATATTATCAAAATATCATCAATATATAAGTCCGCTTGGGATAGAATACATAGCATAACAAAGAACGATTTAAACTAACTGATAGAGAAACAAAAAGGAACATAATCTTATATATTAAAATATTACTTGATAATGAAAGACTTAAATTTGATCATCAATAACACGGTTTTTAATTTATATCTTTTTTTTTTCTATTGGATTTATATATACTCTAGCAATTTAGCAACACGGTTTTATAATCATCGAAACTATATTACTGAGAGATCAACAAATATTAAACTTCAACATATTAGAATCGTATATAAAAGTAAAAACAATACAAACGACATATGTAATAGTTTTAAAACATCAAAATTGCATTAATTAAACTTTAAAATTGCATTAATTAAAATTTTTACATCGGAGATCAGATATTACAATAAGAAAACACACTTGAAATGCATGACAACATTTGTTTTAATGAGAAAAAAATGTATAAAAAAGAGCAAATCTAACTACGCAAATTTTACCGACCCAACTCCAACTGAGATTATCAAACTCAAGCCTGTATTAATCCGCCACCATTGCTTGTACACATTCTCGATGCATTGTGGTGAGATTACAATGCAGAACGTTACACAATTGTTGTGCCTCCAATGTTAACAAACGGTGACCCCTGAAGACATAAAACGTAATGAGTTTACAAAATAAAAAAAAAAATGGCATAATAAGTTTATGAAAACCAAAAAATCATGGTGAACCCAACAATCAAAGAGATGAACATTATGTGAATGCATATATGGATGACATACGGGGAGTCATTGCGAACGAAAATTATGCCCGGATTGTACAAAAAAATGAAAATCGTTAGCAATTATTATGGCTGTGAAATTTAAACATATGATATAAAATAAATCTACATAAATAATTGTATTGTTTATCTGTAGAAAACAATTACGTACGTTGAAAAATGTTGGTGAAGAAGAAGAGGACGAAAAAAAATTAAATGAGCAAGAAGACGACGAACAAAAAATTAAATGAGCAAGAAGACGACGAAGAAAAAACATTGTGTTTTTTGATGGAGTTCTCCATGAGTTTAAATAGACTAAAATGTGTACGGGAGTTGTGATCATATTACAATGAGGAGTTAGTGGGTGGTTAAAGTGAAGAAGGAAAATAAATTTTTTTTTTTTAAAATACAAACATGTAGGAAATATAGGGAATTAAGATCGTGATTTTTGAATCCTTTAACTTTCTTTGTTTTTCATTATTTAATTTATTTATCATGTAGTTATTCAGTTTATTGATAACCATGAAATAAGGAAGCTTAACTTTTGATATATTCATCGTGTGTTCATTTTGTACAAATTGGAGGGATTTTTTATTTTTTTTCTCTTATTGAGGAAACCGTATGAAAAGAACTGCTAGGATAGGAATTGTCGAAAATATCCCTAGGTTTAGGTCTAGGGTTGTAGGTCAAAATATCTTCTTTTTATATATAAGATATATAGATGGTAAATACACTTTTATTTACAATATAATAAAAATAAACAAATTTATGATCCAAATTTATTGAAATAAAATTATAGAAACTAATATAACGTGCAAATTAATAATAATGTATGTACATATGAACAAAATAGTTAAAATTAAGCATTATTAATGGACACAAATATTAATATTGTTACAAAAATATGTAAACGCTAAATAATCTATTACATGCTCATTCAAGTTCATTAACCTCAATTTATTTTTCATCGAAACCAAGCTTACAATCATCTCACGTATAATCAAAAGATGGAAATGCATAACTATTTTTTTCTAAATCTATCCTTCAAATATACACGGATCATATTTATGTGTGCTATACAACGTCGCAGGGCTTCTCTATTGCTAATGTCGCCGCGTATAACACAAACGATGATATCAAAACAAAAAAAACAAAAAAAAAAAGAAAAGAAAAACAAACATAAGTTAGATTGTTATATGTATACATACATAATAAATGAATAACATCATAAATATTCAACGACAAATAAATTCTTCAAGCGAACACATCGATAAATACTAATTGCATTATGAATTTACAAAACAAAAGAAAAAAAAACAGTTTTAGATGAGGACCTTAGTTTAGCATATGATTATAACAAAATATGTAGATGAAGAGAGAGATGAATGAGTTGGGGTTGAGATTGGGGGTATTTATACTTCATTTTCACACACTAAATAAGTAAATAAAATGAATTTAAGGAAGTCATATATTGTTTATATTAGTTAATGTATATATATAAATGCATATATACTAAAACATGGGTTTTATCTATCCTACACCCGGTGAAGGTTACCCCGGCTGATTTTTTACCGTTGATCTACACACACCAATGTGGGTGTGTGTGTGTTTGTGTGTATATGAATGGTAAAGATCTACCCGGTGTATTTCACCCGGTGTAGGATCTCAAAAGCCACATGTATACATATATATATTTCACCATAATTGGACGTAATTAAAATAAATGCAAATTAATTTCATAAAATAAAAAATAGACATGATTGACAACAAATCCGGTGATTGATTTTATTTGATGCAAATTCAAATAACTTATTAATAATTAATAATTGAAAGTCAAACTGTACATAAATTAAAATTAATTATAGTGATATTATTTTCATAAGTTATCAATATATAATAGATATGATATATATATATATATATATATATATATATATATATATATATATATATATATATATGTGTGTGTGTGTAAATATAAACGATTTGGATAATAAATGCATATCCGAATTTTAATAAAAACCAAAATATATGAAATATACATAATATTTTTTTTTATCTCTTTTCTTTTTTCGTATTATGGTAATAAAAATATAAATTTCATAATATATTAAACAACAAATTAATTAAATTTAAAATTTTAAACATCCACGTCCATAAATATACTATATTGCAAAAGGAAATAAAATAAATCCAAATTAATATGATTGATATAATGTATATCAATCGATGATATAGTTTATATATAATTATT